CACTCATATGGGACTGGAGGAAGTAGCTTGCTGAAAATATTACCATGAAGACTAGTGACTGAAAGATGATGTCAATCATGCAACAGATTTTCCTAGGACTTCTTAGGAATCCAGAGCTTGTGAGAATAAATCCTATGGTACTCTGTTAAGATGGGGACCTGCACTGGCAATGGAACTGTTACAAACAAATCTTTTGCACAAATGAGGAACTGTTACAAACAAATCGTTTGCACAAATGAACCACCAAATGTTGACTTCAAAAATACATGGCAAAAAGGGTATTAATATTTTGATGGAAGAATTGGATGCTGTTTTGTCAGCAAAAAGCAAAAGGTTTTCCAGACTTCATTGTGTCAATAAGCAATGAAAAAATCATCCAAGGCAACTATGAAGAAGATGTACTAGAATCACCACAATCTGACACACAGTGAACAAGTTTATGTGTAGCAACTTTCTTTCCTTCAGTACCATGGACACAAATCATTTTTGTGACCCAATTCAGTTGCATAACTATCATGCAACACCAAGTGGTCAGAAAAGATTCAATCAATTATATCTCAGATTGAGTTTCTAATGTATGGAAGAATGGTTGATGAACTAAAGGAGCAGGCTTTCTTGGCTACCCTTGATCAATGGACTCTGAGGCAAATTACTAGATTTGCACTGGTGTTAAGTTGAGTGGTAATTGTCGGAAATTGATGGCAATGGAAAAGCTCAAGTAATGAGGTACATGATATTTGAGAGCAGCAACAACTTTTACTGCTTCTACTAACAACTCTCTTGGGATGTTGCTAGTTGCTAGTAGAGGACAAGGATAGTACTTGCTGGATGATATATTGTGCTGATAATGAAATGTATATCACTTGCAAGCAGTCTCATACTACCAAAGATCATGCAGAAGAAACATTTTGAGTTCTTAATCCTGAAGCTATGAAAATGCAAAATCACACATTCACCCCTTTAATCATTCAACCCAAGCCACAGAAAAGCTCAAGAGGGCTCAGCAGGAATTAGAGGTTGAAAGCTACAAAAGACAAAAGCACCATGTTGGTACAGTTGACAATATTGTGACAAGATGGTACTGGTTAACTTGAGATACACTTGACCTTATGGTTTATCTCAAAATAGCAATAGAAGCAATGTATTCAAGGTCAACCATGGAAATAGTGAAGAAATTTACATGTGATAACCAAAAATTCCTCAATGATATGATGATGTTTGTGTTGGAGCCTTTCAAAGACACCTGCAACGGATACGTATGTACTGTATTGGAAGGATACATACGTACTGGAAAGGAAGCATACGTACGATACGATGCTCCTTTGGAATGGATGGACATATCATTCCTACCTACATATCATAATGTTATATTAATACATATACATCATACGATCCATCGTGTTGAGGATCGTAAGAGGTCTAAGATACTTCGAGAATACCTCACAAAGAACAGAGACGTCACGAGTCCAGAATRGAAGAACCTCCATGTAGATTCCCTACCAGATCTACATGAGGATCCAATCGGAACTTCGGAATTCTTGTGAACGCGCTCGGTAATCTTCGAATAATCTTAATCTTATAATTCAATTTTCATACAACCTTTTTAAGAGTACACGTAATCTCGTGCACAGTAATTACTAAGTGATTTTTTGTGTATCGAAATTAATCAACCCTTAAGAAAATCAACCAAAAATAACACATCAAACATGGTGAAATCAACCAATAACTCCTCCAAGCAAACACACTGATCCTGTTTAAGACTTACAAACAACTTCGATCCAGCCCAGTTAAAGACAGTCTCGATGATGGTAAATCTCAGAAACCCAGCAAGAAAGCTATCTAAGACCTGCACAACCTTCTCGGGGGAACATGGGTTACAGGAACTGTTCCATGTACAAGAAGACTTTGAAGATGCAATCCTAGACTTGGAAATAGCAGAGGATCAAATAGACAACAAGTGGCAAATGGTCCTTGTGCATGGACCCAGACAGAAGTGGAATAACATGTGGCGCAACAACAGATTAACAGAACAAGTGACAAGAGATAGCAAAGCACAATGGAAAATAGCCCTCCTTACCTTCAGGAGGTTTTATGCTTCATCCAAGAGTGCTAGGGACGATGTTATTGATTACTTGAAGTCGGAAGCTGTAAGGAAACCTCATTCAATCTCCTGTGAAGCACATGCGGATAGAATTCAGTCATGTTGTTCCAGAGCCAACATCCTTCATGGCATCTGTGAGCCCTTATCAGAAAGAGAGATCAAACAGATTCTTTTCAAATCCTTCCCCAAGTCCTGGCAGAATGATTACAAAAGGTGTGGGAGAGATATCGTGAGGGACACGATTGAAGAAATTGTGGAGTTCATGGCTGACCAAAAAGGAATAGCAGATGAAGAACAGCAGCAGCAGCAACGTTCAAGGAAAAGACCAGCAGATGATACTGCAGATACTAACGCGAGACAACAAGGAAGGAATAATGGAAGACAAAGAAGAAGAGGAAACAACAATAACARTGATAGAAACAACAGACAGAATGAGACCCCAGAAGAAAGACAAAATAGGATCAATGCAATGCCTTGTAGGAAACACAAGGGACAACACCTTTGGGGGGAGTGCCGGTTCAACAAAAATGGTTATAATCGAAGCAATAACAACGGAGGAAATCAGAGCAACCAGGGAAATTACGGAGGAAACCAGGGAAATTCAAATGCAAGCAACAACAGTGCAAGCAGTAAGAGGTTCACACCGGGAACATATCTATGCTCAATGGATGAACATGGGAACATGAGCAATTTCCAACCGCAATCAATCCAAACTCAGAGCTATCAACTCACCGGCTCTAATTCCAGTGGTGGCCCTCCGAGTCACGTATCATTACAGTCCAACAGTAATGCAGGAGGCTCTACAGTCCGCTTCCAAGGACAAGGACCAAATCAGCAGTGGTGACATTTGAAAGAGGCTTTCCTTGTATTGCCTCCACCACCATTCACTCAATCACCAGCAGACAGCCTTGAGCTTTATGGTCTCGACAATGATAAAGCTCTTAAAAACCCAACAGCAACAACCTTAAGAGCTTTGAAGACACCACCGGATGTGCAGGATGTACTGCCAGCGGTCATCCTATTATGCAAAGCCATCCAAGGCCTACCAACTATGCAAACATTCAAGGTCCTTCTCGATAGTGGGAGTACAATGTGCCTCATCCACGAGCGTTGCCTTCCACCAGGAACAGTTCCCTTCCAGGACCAATTCAGCTCAGTCACGACTACGGCTCAGGGAAGCTTTGATACATCTAAGTATGTTTTCATTTCCAACATTCGGCTCCCTGAGTTTGGCAATGGTAAATATACCAGAGGAATCAATGCGAGGCTCTTTTCAGCCTCTTGCAACAATGACATGATTCTAGGAAGGGACTTTCTACTGATGACAGGGATAGACCTTTTCTACTCCACGCGCACCATCAGATGGTTGGGCTCAACCATTGACATGAAGCCCACAGATCATTTCAATAATCCCCAGCAAATAGCAGAAGCTATGTGGCTGGCAGAGGATGATGAACTCTTAGATGGAGAATTCGTAGAGTTTCATCTACTCCCAAGCTGCCGACCTCAAAGTTGCAGACGTGCAATTGGTTTGGACAGTTATTTAGCAGCAGATGCTGCCAGGGCTCCTGTAGACACAGAACCCAACAGAATCCTGGATGCGCAGTACCAGAAGGTGACTCCAGAGCAGGTTGCAGACCAGCAGGAGCATATGAACAGTTCAGAAAGACTAGCATTCACACAGATGCTAGCCAAGCACATGGAATTGTTTGATGGCAAACTAGGTCGATATCCGCATGAAAAGATCCACATTGATCTACAGGATAATGCAGAACCAGTTTACATAAATCCATATCCAGTTCCCTACAGACACAGAGGAGATGTCTTCAAAAGGGAATGCCAGCATCTTGTTGATGAAGGGGTGATTGCTCCCACTGGCAACTCAGAATGGGGCTTCCCAGCCTTTATCATTCCCAAAAAGGACGGCAGAGTCAGATGGCTTGTTGACCTACAGGAGTTAAACAAAAGGATTAAAAGACCCAAGTTTAATCTCCCCAAAATCCAAGACATCATGAACCAAAAAACACGGTATGATCACTTCACGAAGATTGGTCTTTCTATGATGTTCTACTGCTTTGAATTGGATGAGGAGAGCCAAAAGATTTGCACTCTCACTACAACGCAAGGCAATTACAGATGCCTCAGATTGYCCATGGGACTAAAATCATCTCCAGACTATGCCCAAGCCTTTATCACTAAAATCCTACATGGATTAGATCTTGAAGTTTATATCGATGACATGGGAATCTGGTCTCGTGGACCCTTCACTCAACACCTTTCTTTGGTTGACCTAGTCTTGGAAAGATTGGCCTCCAATGGAATGAAGTGCAATCCACTCAAGTGTGACACACCCAGTAAGCCCTATAGTTAACAAGTATGTCAGTGCAAGCAGTTTCTTGTGTACAYCAGTGAAAATACTTTGAAACAACAAACTAATCACACTTTGAAACAGACCAATCAAAYATGGATTAAGTTAGTGATGGCTTCTTCTTGCTGTGTTCTATTCTAGACAACAACAAGAAGGAATGGTGGTGCATTGTTGTTAGGTACAATCATTTATTGAAGAATCATTAGTACTAGCAGTACTATCACTCCTCATATACCCATTTTTTAAGCACCATTACTACTATGTTCCAGCATTCTTTCTTAATTTCTTTCCCAAATGAATGTTATCAGCAGCAGTACTGGCACTGGTTGTTGTTTTATCAGTAAGCTAGTAGTAGTAGTAGTA